AGGAGGAGAGGCTGCAGGAGGAGAGGCTGCAGGAGGAGACCACCAGTTGTGTTTCTGCTGTTGGACAGTGGGGAATGACTTTCGGTTCTAGCTTCTTTACTGTTTCCATAGCTTCCACACAGGGCTGTGTATCAAACAACACTTTTCTTGTACCTTTCTAGTTCCTGTTGCGCTGGTATATGGTCAAATTTGTATTTTCTCAGATAGTTCCTGTTTTAAATAATAACTTAACAAATTTATTTTGAATTGTGTTAGTTTTCATACAGCTCTTTTGTGATGATACAGAGTTAAACTTACTCCGTTTAAAAAGTTTTGTTTTGTTAAGAGAAACAAGTTTCATTATAAAAAAATACTTTTATTCATCTTGCTGGTGCTGTGCAGGGTATTTTGGGCACACATAAGATACGGATCTATTTTGTAAAGAGAGGAAATGTTGGTGATATTTTTATGTTAATAATGTATGTTGAACATTATTGACACCCTTCTTCCAGACTGCTGCTGTTAATATCGACAGGAGCTTTTGTCTAATGGAGCTCAAACGGTTAGCTGAGTATCTGAAGTCATTCGACCAAGAATATATATTCTTTTATATATATCCAAAATCAATCTGGATAATTAATATTTGAAGTTATTCAAGCAAAATTGTTGTTGACTAATCTTTTGGTGTTAATGTTAATGACAGCAAGGACAGATTGGAGATTATGTGTGTGTGTGTGTGTGTGTGTGTGTGTGTGTCTGTCTCTCTCTCTCTCGACAAATAGGTTTTCATCCTGTACAGAACCAGATTTTGTCACTATTTACTGTTTACCCTTGGTTACTCATTAATACAGTGTCTGCTTGGATCAGGCCATTGAGGACAATGTTGCAGATTATTAAGCATGTGTGGTAATGTTGCATTGACAGGATTTTGGTCCACATACTTTAATTTCCTGTTAGTTCCAATGAAGTAAAATCTTAATGTTTCACTGTACAATGATATATGATGATATTTTAGACAATAGTGTTCTTCCAACTTCAATTGGTTGTCCCGATTTGTAGGGGAAGACCTTGGCCAGCCTGCATAGAGCCCTAATCTCAACCCCATCCAACCGCTTTGGGATGACCTGGAACACTGATAGTGAGAGTCAACTTCAATAATGTGTCTGAATGTGAGCAAATGTCTGCAGCCAGGTTAGAAAATCTTGTAGAAATCCTCCCTATGATAGTGGAGGCGATAAGAGCAGCGGCTTAATGCCCATGGGTTTGTTCAACTATCACACATGGTTTGTCCACAAACTTTTGGCTACATATTCCTTGATTTGTCAGATATTTAATTCTGCCCCAATTTTTTTTTGTATCTAGTGGTTTACATAATGTGACTGAAGATACAGTCTTCTGACACCCGTAATGGAAAGGGATGGTTAATAGAAGGAAATCTGATGGTGTAAAATATTTAGCAATTTATGATAAATTACCAAAAAACAAGCAAAATTATAGTTGGGTACAAGAAGAGCCTCCCTCATTATAAATAATCTCTGAATCAGAGCCAACTGAGCCCACTGAGGGACACGTGACAAAGAGAATGTGCCTTTGGACTAATGAAAGTGTCATTGTACATATTGTATACTGTAAATAAAGGTTATTGGATATAAAGGCTGTGTGGGCGGTGTCTGTTTAACACTTTTTCTTCTGCTTTGTCTCATCCCAGATTTGTAAAGCCTGATATCTCATCTTAAAGGAGTATTATTTACGCTGTTTGTCTGAAATGCTACAATCCACCTACTGTAAAATAAAGACCTCTTTTGTTACTATACTGGGACCCAGAGATACAGTTTCACTATAGTAAGAAATATCAAACATTTGACGAGCACAGCCTCCTAACTGATTTCATTTTGATATTATTATAAGTTTAAAGCAATAATTCCCAGCTGCTGGTCGCACTCAGTAAGCAGTTTGAAGGCTGCAGTTTGGGCTTTGGTCACACTACTAATGTAGAAAGGCTATTCCAGGAGTGCAGCACTGCTAAATTTACTCAGTCAAATCTGAATACACATACATGATATACATTTTTAATGCAGTGTAGGCTGTCATATCTTCAGTATCTATTGTGAAAATGTACCTCAATCGGCTTAGAAATCAGAGGGGTTAAACATTCAACTCCAGTAACATGCAACTGAGAATCATCACATTTTAAAGCTCCCCTCCACTCATTAATCAGTGTTTCTTCTTGTTCCTGCAGTGTGCTGTGTGAATGCTGTGTGTGCAGAGTTTGACTCTAGAAGGCTCTACCAGCAGGATTTGTGACATCTGTTGCCACATTCCAAGCACACTATTTGTGTGTCTTCTAAAAATGGCTTTTTGAAGTAGTAAACCTCAATAAAAAAATGTTATAAATAATAATAATTTATAAATTGAGCGTACATTCTGGAAGGAGGAGTTTGGCTCTCCAAAGAAACTGCTACTGGGAGGGAAAAACGAAAGCCTGTTAACCTAAATGCATTCAAGTATTTTAAATGTGTACGTTGTTTGTCTGATGAGGTAAAAACGAGCACAAAAAAATGCACATATTTTGTCTCATAAAGTGAGTGCACAATATGCAAAACAAAAGTCATAATTATACACACCGATTATATTGACAGATATTGCAATTGCAATATGATTCACAACTAGTGTGGGAGTGATCATTTCTGCATCACAATTGACTTTTTTCAGATAAAAACCATCACAATCATGATGATATGACATGGTCTGTACCAGACATCTGGAGATTCAGTACATCTGGAGAACAAGATTAGAATGTCGGGGCATCTCTGCAGCACTACAGTACTCCATTATAATGCTGTTTGTCACATTTTACCTTTATCAAAACACTGCATATTGCATTTGACCATATTGTGATTTCCATAATATTGCGATTAATTGTGCAGCCCTAACGCTTCTGTTTGTTTTACTGAGAGAAAAAAATTACAACCTGTTAACCTCAGTGCCTTTATTTAGTTTTATTTATAAAGTTATTAAA